ATATATACTACATCTTCTTTATCCATTCATCAATGGACATTAATGGACATTTGGACTCTTTTCATAATTTGGCTATTGTTGATAGCACTGCTATAAACATTGGGGTACATGTGCCCCTATGAATCAGCACTCCTGTATCCTTTGGATAAATTCCTAGTAGTGCTATTGCTAGGTTGTAGGGTAATTCTATATTTAATTTTTGAGGAACCTCCACACTGTTTTCCAGAGCGGCTGCACCAGTTTGCAGTCTCACCAACAGTGCAAGAGGGTTCCCGTTTTTCCACAACCTCACCAGCACCTGTTGTTTCCTGAGTTCATTTTAGTCACTCTGACCAGTGTGAGGTGGTATCTCAATGTGGTTTTGATTTATACTTCCCTGATGATGAGTGATGTTGAGCATCTTTGCCTGTATCTGTTAGCCATCTGGATGTTTTCTTTGGAAAAGTTAGACCATTAACTTTTAAAGTGATTATTGATATAGTTGGACTAATATCTACCATATTTGTTACTGTTTTCCATTCATTGTTCTTGTCCTTTGTTCCTATTTTATGTCGTCCACTTTATCCATGTTAACAAAAATGGTCATTCCAATGTAGTGTTATATATAAAAAGCTACAGCTGCAGAACAATATTAAATAATAACTTATTGAACACTTAGTATGTGCCAGGTGCTGTTTTAAGCACTTCACACATATTAGCTCATTTAATTTCCAAACCACCATATAAGGTAGTACTTTCATCATTTTATTTTCTAAAGAAGAAAACAGAGACTGAGAGAAATTAATAAGGTACTCAATGTTACACAGCTAGAAGCAAAACAAGGATTCAGCCTCAAGTTCCAGAGATCAAGCCTTTCCCCATTGTATTAATGACCTTAGTTTTGTGAATTTAAAATGTATGTATAAACTTATGTTATATATATTATAAACATATAATGTATACAAAAATGTATACTTACATACATGTGCATACATTTATATTTATATGTATGTTTATACACATAAAAATTCTGGAAGGTTATACACTAAACTGTTAAGAGTGCTCACCTCAGGGGGTTTGACTGAGATTGTAGGAGATACTCGTATTTTGCTTCATATACTTTTGTATTATTTTACTTTACTAATGAGCATTGTTTTTTAAGCTTTATTTATTTTTGAGACAGAGAGAGAGAGAGAGAGGAGAGAGAGAGACAGAGCGTAAGTGGGGGAGGGGCAGGGAGAGGGAGACACAGAATCTGAAGCAGGCTCCAGGCCCTGAGCAGTCAGCACAGAGCCCGACGCAGGGCTCGAACTCATGAACCGCGAGATCATGACCTGAGCTGAAGTCAGATGCCCAACCAACTGAGCCACCCAGTTGCCCCAACTAATAAGCCTTATATTTTAAATAAAAAAAAAAAACCCTGCTCGTTGGCAAATGATCAAATCCACCTTAGACAGAACTCTGATCTTGTTGGTTACAGGACCATGCAACTTACAATTGATGTTTTGTGAGGAGCTCACTAGGTAAATGTAGAAAAGAGGAGGTTGCTAGTTGAACTGTGTCCCCCAAAAGGTATGTTCAATTCCTAACTCCAGGAACCTGTGAATGTTACTTTATCTGGAAATAAGGTCTTTGCAGATATAATCGACTTAAGATGAATGGTTAATTTTTTATTTTTCTTTTTGTTCCTTTTTTCTTTCTCTCCTTTTAAAAAATGTTTAAGTTTTTTAACCTAAGAGAATCATTTAAGATTTGTTAAGATAATGTATTTATAGTCCATTCATTGGCATTCAGATTATACACACACACACACACACACACACACATATTTAAATCTCTCAAAACATTTTTCTTTTGTTAATTATAGTATAAGAAATTCAACAACTTTTAAAAATTTTCTACAGATTTAATGCTTACCAGGTTAGTTTATAAATGTTAAAAAGAAATGTCTTTGATGTCAGATGTGTTAACTGCTTAAAATATGCATATTTTCATATGGTAACTAGTTTTTGGGGAGCTCTGTCAATAATATATTTTGGCTGTGTAGAATATGCAGAATTCTTCATAAAAAATTTATGAATTTAATATAAAAACATCTATCCTTAAGTATTTTTTAGGCATTGTGGTAGACACACCCTATGGTGACCCCCCAATGTATCACATCCTTGTAAACCACCCCTCCCCACCCCCAAGTGTGACTTGCTTCTAATTAAGAGAAGCAAAGGTGATGGGATGTCACTCTTGTGATTATGTCACATTATATAATATTTAGTAGACTGGAGTGAGAGAGATTCCTCTGCTGGTCTTGACAGGGAAGCAGCCATACTGAGGACAGCAACTGGCAAGGACCTGTTGTTGTCAGTTCCTAGGACCTGAGGGTGTCCCCTGGTCAATAGCCAGTAAAAAGCTGCATCCCTGGCACAGCTGTAAGGAACTGAATTTTGCAACAGGCTCTGAATGAGCCTGGAAGCCAAATCTTCCCCAGAGCTCCTGGATGAGAACACAGCCTGTCTAACAAACTCACTGAAACTTTGTGTGGACCCTGAGGAGAACTTGTTAAGTCCTGCCTGGATTCCTGACCCACAGAACCTGGGAGATAATAAATGTGTGCTGTTTTAGGCTGCTGATTTGTACTGATTTGTTAAATACATAATTAGAAAACTAAAACAGTTATACTGAGAATATTTTAATACGGAAAAGTTCATATACAGAGTGAACAGTATAATGCAGAGTGAACAGTATAACCCATCCCTATGCACCCATCACCGAGTATCGACACATGGCCAATCTTGTTTCATCTATACTACTACCAATTACCTCTTCCCCAAATGTATTGTTTCAAAGCACATCCCAGACATTCTATCATTTTAATCTGTAAATGCTTCAGTTTGTATCTCTAAAAGATATGGCCTCATTTTTCTTAAAAATAAAACTACAACATCATTATCATATCTATAAAAATGCCTTAATATCATCAAACATCCAGTTTGTAACAAATTTATAAAAAAAATCATAGTTGTTTTGTTTTTCAACATTTGTTTTGCTGATCCAGGATCCAAAGTCCGCATTTAGTTGATATGCATAAGTTTCTTTTAATCTGTGGATTCTCCTTAACTTTTTCCCCATTGCAATTTATTTGTTGAAGAAATTTGATTATTTGTCTTGTAGAGTTTCTCATATTCTGGATTTTGCTGATTGGACTGCTGTGTATCATTTAATGTGGTCACTGATCTCTCTATTTCCTGTAAACTGGTAGTTAGATATAAAGGCTTGGTCCTATTCAGGTTTGATGTTTTGGGCAAGCCTACTTCAGATGTGTGCTATATACTACTTACTGTGTGACATCAAGAAACACATAACTGATGACTGATTGTCTCCCTTATTGTGACCTTAGGAATAATCAATGGGTTTAGGTATTTAAAAAAAAATTTATTTTTTACATTTATTCACTTTTGAGAGACAGAGAGAGACAGAGCACAAGCGGGGGAGGGGCAGAGAGAGAGGGCAACACAGAATCTGAAGCAGGCTCCAGGTTCTGAGCTGTCAGCACAGAGCTGGATGTGGGGCTGGAACTCACAAACTGCAAGATCATGACCTGAGCTGAAGTTGGACGCTTAACTGACTGAGCCACCCAGGTGCCCCAGTGGGTTTAGGTATTTTGAGTCAGTTTCATTTCATTTACTATGAATTTCCCCATCAGCGTTTCACCTAATTTTTTTCAGTCATCAATGATCACTGCCTAGATCTATTATTACATTAGGGATTGTAAAATAGTGAAATTTATTACCTCTTCTTTGTTTATTAGCTGGAGTATTTCTATATTTGGTCTATATAAAGACCAAAAAAAAAAAAAAAAAACCTTTTTCCCTATCAACTATTTGTTTTATCTGAAGTACAGTTCATATAAGAAAGTCAGAATAAATGGTTGAGCCTTTTATTTATTGGTTTTTGGAGTGATGAGGTGGATCCTTAGAATCTTCCAGAGCTGACTGACGAGGGATTATTCCCCCCCTTGATAGTATCTAGGAACTCAAGGAGTTTTAACATATATGATGTGTTACAATCCACTGCAGTTATTATTCTTTTTGATGTTCAGTTATTCCATTACTGACAAGTGTTAGCTACTTCAAGTTGGCTCCTAAAGTCTTTTGACAAGAGTACAGTGAACTTTGAAAGCTTCCTTTTTTCTGGTATGACAAAATGTTTCTGGCTTACATGTTTCCTGCCTGACATCTGCAATTAGGTCTTATTCTTTTTAGTGTAAAATGGTATTTAGAGACAATAATCTAGATGCTAAGGGGGCACACTGCTACTGGGTTGATCATTATTTCTAATGTTTTTCAATAGACAGCCTAGGAAATACTTTTATTTTTTATTTTTATGAGGTTTATTTATTTATTTTGAGAGAGAACAACGAGCAGAGAGAGAGGGAGAGAAATAATTACAAATCACGAGGGGCCTGATCTCACAAACTGCGAGATCATGCCCCGAGCCAAAATTAAGAGTTGGCACTCGACTGACTGAGCCACCCAGGTGCCCCATTATACTTTTTTTAAAAGAGAAAAAAGGATTGATATATTTTCAGTGAAAAAAATTTCAATATGTAACTTTCAATTAAAATTTTCAGTATTTAATTTTCTTTAAAATTTTTTTAAAATTTTCAAGTAAAATTTAGGATTATAAGGTTTCACTCAATTCTTTGATTTTATATTTGCAACTATTGCTGAAAACCTTGATTCCTAATGACATTAACTTGATTACTTAAAGTAATATATTTATATAAACCAATTTTAGAATAGCAACACCAATGTCATTATTAACAATGGGACACTTGAAAATAAAAACTTTAATATTTATTTTTTAGTTCTTTTGTCATTAGGGTATAATCTCACTAGGAATATACAAATTGTTGTTTCTTAAAGTCGGTTGAAATAAATTTTCACTGTCTTTTAAGTCATCAGCTCAATACACAATTAGGTTCTATGCTGACAGCTCAGAGCCAGGAGCCTTCTTTGGATTCTGTTTCCCTCTTTCTCTGCCCCTCATTCTCTGTCTCTTTCTCTCTCTCTTAAAAATAAATAAACATTAAAAAAAAACCTATTAGATTTTTTTTTTTGAGTTTTAGGGATTACTTTTTTAAAATAAAAAAAATTGTTATGGTAAGATATACAGAACAAAATTTACCACTGTAATGATTTAAAAAAATTTTTTTAAGTTTATTTATTTTGAGAGAGAGACAGCAAGAGTGAGCAGGGAGGGGCAGAGAGAGAGAGAGAGGGAGACAGAATCCCAAGCAGGCTCTGCACTGCCAGCTCAGAGCCTGATGTGGGGCTTGAACCCACAAACCATGAAATCATGACCTGAACGGAAATCAAGAGTTCGATGCTTAACCGACTGAGTCACCCAGACGCCCCTACAATTGTAATGATTTTTAACTGTACAGTTCAGTGGCATTAAGTATATTCACATTGTTGTGCAATTATTACCACCATCCATTTCCAGAACATTTTTCATCTTCCCAAACTGAAACTCTATACCCCTTAAACACCAATTCCTCCTCTTCCTTTCCCCCCAGGCTCTGGCAACTGTTGTTCTACTTTTTGTCCCTACAGATCTGACTTTAGGTACCTCATATAAATGGAATCACACAGTATTTGTCCTCTTGGGACTGTCTTATTTCACTCTAGGGACTATTTTTTAAAAATTTAATTTAATAGTATTCTATAATTATGTAAAATATTTACATGGTTCCAAAGTCAAATTTGCAAAATAAGTTTCATTCAGAAAGGCCTTGTTTCTATTCCTGCCCCTTAACCCTATGTAGGCAACCATTAAAATGTTTTTGATTTATCCTTTTCTTGCCCCCAATCTCCCTTTTTTTTTGACTATAAGCAAACAAATAAATATGTTTGTATTTACTCCCTCTTTCTTAAATGGCTGCATATAAGATTGGTAAACAAATAATGGTATACCATATATACTTTCTCTATCTTGCTTTATTCACTTACCAATATATTGAGGATATCATTCCTTATCATTATATAAGAATAGAAATCCTCAGTTCTCATCTTTACAGCTCTTATCTCCTAATTCCAAACTGATATTTCAGCTGTCATACAATGTTTAGGAGTACAGTTGGAGGTTACATACCATATACTTCCCTAATACTTGTTGAAAATCTGCAGCAACTGCATTTGAAGGAGAAAAATGTTCTTGTGACATCAAAGGATTTCTCAGAAAAGTGTCGCTAACCTAGGGACATTAATGGAAATGTTTAACCTGTGTAGATAATTTAACTGGAGAATTACAGAGCAAATGTTTATTTGAAGCAAAATCTGGCAGAAATGTGAAGTAAACGAATATTGTATTTCCGCACCGTTTCTAGCTTTTTGGTGGGAGAGTGTCCTTTCTAATTAAAGATGCAGTATTTATGAAAACTGTGCTTGCTCAGTCTTCTCCACTGCTGCAGTACAGATCACAATCTCACGGAGTGAGACTGCAGATACCACTTGGAGCCTTTGGTATGTCTGAGGACTTGAGGGGAAGAGCAGATGTTCACCTCTGGGAGACAAAGAAAGATGGATGGCCATGATATTTTCTAAATAAATGTGTCCTCCTGCTCCTACCCTCAAAATCCACTCAACGATAACTAAACAATCCCAACTAAGTGTCATGATACTATCTTTCAAACCCTTATGGTTGTTAAAGGACATTTCAAAGTCTCAGGAAGGAATTCTTTCAATTGTACTCGATGTTGTATTCCCCAGAAGTAGTGGTAAAATTTATGTGGTTGGCAATTTGGTATCATCTGGTTTTGAAAAGGTGGTAAAGTTGGGATGTTTTGTCACAGTAGCAGAGAGAGAAAAAATTAGAGTATAGTCAGTTAAATGGCTAACAGTGTTTAGTATCTAGACTCTAGGGATTGTCAAGGCATATCTGAAGAGTGAATTACAGTTCTTATGATCCTTGATTCTATATGTGGTACAGTTTGAGTTGTATTAAAGCAAGATGGTACACTAAACAAATGAAATATATACATAATTCATGAATATGAATGGAAAATAACAATTAGTAACTATAGGATAGCTGACTAATTTTTCCATGAATATTTTTTATTATAATATTGTTCTGAATTAAAAATTTGTGCATAAAATTAAAGATTAGTATCATTTACTTTTTTTTTCTTTTTTCTTTTTTTTTTTAAATTTTTTTTTTCAACGTTTATTATTTTTTTGGGACAGAGAGAGACAGAGCATGAACGGGGGAGGGGCAGAGAGAGAGGGAGACACAGAATCGGAAACAGGCTCCAGGCTCTGAGCCATCAGCCCAGAGCCTGACGCGGGGCTCGAACTCATGGACGGCGAGATCGTGACCTGGCTGAAGTCGGACGCTTAACCGACTGCGCCACCCAGGCGCCCCTACTTTTTTTTTTCTTTAACATTTATTTATCTTTAAGAGACAGAGAGAGACAGAGCATGAGCAAGGGAGGGGCAGAGAGAGAGGGAGACACAGAGTCCGAAGCAGGCTCTAGGCTCTCAGCTGTCAGCACAGAGCCTGATGTGGGGCTCAAGCTCAAAAACTGTGAGATCATGACCTGAGCCGAAGTCGGACACTTAACCCACTGAGCCACCCAGGCGTGCCCTTTTTTAACATTTATTTTTGAGAGATAGAGACAGAGCATGAGCAAGGGAGGGGCAGAGAGAGAGAGGGAGAGTATCATTTACTTTTTTTTAAAGTTTACTTTATTTGAGAGAGAGAGAGAGTGAAAGAGTGAGAGAGTGAGCAAGCTGGGGAGCAGCAGAGAGAGAGAGGGAGAGAGAGAACCCCAAGCAGGCTCTGCACTGTCAGCATGGAGCCTGACAGAGGGCTTGATCTCACAAACAGTGAGATCATGACCTGAGATGGAATCAATAGTCGGATGCTTAACAGACTAAGCCACCCAGGTGCTCTAGTATCATTTACTCTTTACAATAAGAAACAAATGTACTATCTGGGCTGTAAAGTTACTCGAATAATGGGTTAGCCCTATTCTGTCTCTGAGACTGGCTTTTATAAAGTCTCCTTGGTGCTGGCTGGAGATCAAACTTGGGGTGATAATCAGCAACAGCTGATATCTATTGAGAAGGCTAATTAACCTTTAAGAAATTTATAAAATCTCATGAATGTATGTAAGTACATATACGTACGTGTTGTATTTACCATATTTTATATTTTCTGACAATTTTCAGTTAAAACTTCCCTAAAGATAGTACGTCTTGATTAAACAATTTTTTTCTTTTCATTTAACTCTTATAATTGATTCATATTTTCAACCAGAAGTGTCTTGTATATAATTACTTGTAAATTAAATACACATGCTATTGAAAAGGTATATTAAATATTAGTAAAGTTTAATTTCTCTTTTACAGAACAAGATAAACACAAGGAGAGAGCCTAATAGATCTGTGTGGATAGTCTTTGCAGACCTTGCTTTAGGGTCAAGGGAAGTGTGGAAACAGGGCAGATGAAGGATAGAGTCAAATCTCTGAAGGTAAAAAAAAAAAAAAAAAAAAAAA